AATATCAGCTATTCCACTGAATATTTTTTAAAGAATTAAGTCTGTTAACCATCTTTGCTAAACTTCAATAATTGTCCATAAGCCTCAGCATCGAACCAAAACTAGTTATTCCATAGCAATTTGTTGAAAATTTGAAGGTTTAGAAAACGACACATCGGCCATCCTAGTGTTAAGACAGATAATGTTATAGAAATTCAAGCGAGAGAATAACGTTACGGGGAAACTAGAAAATGCAAATGTGAATATAGTTATACCGTACAGAACAAAACAAAAATGCACACAAAACGCATTGTATTGATTATACAAGCAAAAAACATACAGGTATAATATTTACTTTATACCTACTTTTGCAGCCCTCTGTCTGTGGTATTTATGGTCAAAGCGTCACAACTGACAGTCAGGTATGAAATTGGTCTGCAAAATTTCAGCTTGGAGAAACATCGTTGAGAGTCAGACCCGGGTGTTGATCGGCCATTCATGACGAACCGTAAAGTCATTATTGAAAAGCTATATACAGCGAAATACTCAGGTTCCACCAGTGATGTTAAGCACATCACAGTCTACAATATGCAGATACTTAGAAAAAATAGCAAGCTGAGAGTTTGAATTCTGAACGCTCTTAGCAAAAAGAACAAATCGGATCTTTGAGAAGCGAAAACGGAAATTATTTATGCTTCTACTTATTTTCAATCACAGCATTTTTAATTAATTTCAAGGAAATTTGATGTAAAATATCAGATAGACACTAAAATATGTACATTTTTCTAGAAAGAATTTCCCAAAAAATTACATTGGAATTTTATTTGAAGATTCAACCTCTTCCGAAAATAAAACTTGCAATAAATCTTAAGGAATAACTGAAAAGAAAATTTGTAAAATACTGGTTTTCATTTACGTATTTAATAAAAAAATATATATATATATATATATATATATATATATATATATATATATATATATATATATTTCTTATATATATATATATATATATATATATATATATATATATATATATATATATATATATATATCCTGCGTCGATACTTTTGAAATGTTGTTATTAAATACAACTAAGTTTTAAAAATTTCTAAATATGTTTGTTTTAATAATTGATAAATATGTGTAGAGGCATTTCTCACTCGGTAGAATGGAATCTATTTTATGTCTAGCTAATCCCTATCGCAGCCACCTGTTCAGGCAAATGAAACAAGTAAAAATTCTAAAAGATTGTTTTATCTGGAAATATTTTTGTTATCATATTTTATTTTAAAATGACTATACTGCGAAAAAATAACGGGAAAAATTTGTAAAATATTTATTTTTATTTATTTAATAAAATTAATAAATGTTTCTAAATTTAAAAAAAAAAATCCTACGCGGATACTGTTGAAATGTTCTTATTAAATAAAATGATGTTTTAATAAACGATAAATATGTGTAGAGGTATCTGGCCCTCGGAAGAATAGAATCTGCTTTATGTTTGTCACAGCAACCTGCCCAGGCAAATTTGTGTTTCTTCAAAAGACACCGAACTAACCCGTGTTTTTTTTTTACTGAAACTATACAGAGCGAACCCCAGTTCCACAATCTCGGAGAGAGAGCACATAATCTGGTGTAATCAGCATTTGAACAAGACAGATGGCCTTGAATACTCGGTCACGATGACTTGTGTCTTTGTGCTAGCACAACTACCACCAGCTTCACTCCCAAGACTTGGGACAAACACCGAGCAGCAAACTGGGATTGTTCTCCCAGGCCAATATTATCATGAAGTCGCCCACTTAACAAATCGGCTATGGTAAAATTCGGTTCTCATGTTCACAACACTAACGCGCCCTTATTCAGACATGTAAAGTTCAATAAAATCAAACGGACAGTTTTTTTTAATATTTTCCGATTAACATCTATAAAAAGAAGATTATAAAAGAACGTGATTATTTAGTTGATTGTCACGCAATTAACACAAGCGCATATTTACAGCTTATCACTTGCCGGTCAAAGAAGATTTAATCTTCTTTTGCAATCTTGTTATCAAGCATCACAAATTGTACGTAGAAATGAATAAATAAATGACAAAATTTGATATTTTCTCTTAATTTTGGCACGACGTTATTAAGTGTGGTGGCAGGATATGACGCAACAAGAAATTAACCTTTGAACAGTGTTGACAAGGAAGGCACCCACGACCGATGTAAAGAAATATACCTTTTACTATATTTTAATCATAATAATATTTTTTTCAAAATCAACTCACCATTAAATTAATTATTTTTCAGTAATTCAGAATTAATTTTTTTAACAGTTTAATTTTTCAGTTAAATTATTAAGTAATATGAAATTTGTTGATACAAAATAAATATTTAAAATAACTCTAAAACAAGATATGTAGACATAAAATTAAAATTCTCATGGCTGATACCTTTATGCTGCTTGCTTGCAATTGAAACAGCCGAGTAAAGATACCAAATACGTTTCAACGATTATATGATTAGGAAGTGTGAAGCCACCATTATTTCTATCTATGTAAGCAAGCTTTGTAACGACGATAATGTTTTTAATTATTGGTCTATTCATAAAAATAATTTCACACACACATTCAAACACACAGAAATATATTTTTTACAGCGGTCAAAGAGCCACTCGAAGTAGAGGGTTACAGAGTATGAGACAAAATTTATGGGAATATATGGGGAAGATAGCGGTTGACACTTGACTTGAACAAGTTAAGATTGTAGTGTTTTGGGAAGCATGTTCTTGGGTTCGTTGGAAGCAGTGGTCCGTCGGAAGAAGCCGGTCGAGTACAACTTGCATCTCACCAAAGGAAATAAGCGTTCGCTACAAAGTATGTGGAATGGCGGTTCAGCCGAGAAGGTTAGAACTCATGGAAATAAAGAATGTCGTTCGTTTGAACATTTTCCATGGAAATGGTGATAGATCAGCGAGGGATTTGCGTTTTTTTCGTCTGTGAGAAAATAATTAATCATACACAAGGACGCCGAGACGCTTTTGGACAGTTAATATGCTTGTACCTCTGTATTTGGGCAACACTTATTCTTTAATACATGTCTCATTAAAGGTAATTGAAAGGTATTTCTGTAAAGCTTTTATTGTTTTCCTTTTGTACGAACATAACATTTCTTCTTTTTTTTTTGTACTTAATGCGTGCAAAATTTGTTCAAACGACCTTTCATTCCATGCGATTTCGACTAATCTGTTAGCAATGTTCAAGGATTTGGATTTAGTTAGTTCTGAATGGCCAGTACGATAAAAGACTCCAAACAGAAATTTCTTATTTGTACACAAGAAAACACCAATTAAAAAAAAATGAAAAGGTGTACCTAGACAGACATTCTTAACACACACACACACACACACACACACACACACACACACATATATATATATATATATATATATATATATATATATATATATATGTGTTTTATCTGTTTAAGTTATTTTCTATGTCAAGTGTTTAAAATACCTTAAACACACACACATACACATAGACAGACACATACATACCGCTTGGCTGACTCTTCTCTTTTTAGAAATTTTTGCAGTTCGAACAGGACATTTTCATGTGACATCAAGTGGCGGTGACGATCACCTACCGTGCGGCAATGGGGGACGAGGCGGGAGAGGTGACACGACAGAGATAAACGGAAAAAGCCAAAGGCAACAGCTTGCCTCCTTTGTACGCTGATTAATTACCTTCAAAATCGCCGATCCTTTGCTCTCGCCAGCGCTATAAAAATCTTTCTTTCAAGCGTCAAAACAAAAACAACAACAACAACAATAAACAGCAATAATAATAATAATAATAATAATAAAGTAGATATGTATATTTAAACAAAAGAGTCGAATGAAACGAATTCATTAGCACCAAGTACTGTATTCAAACAGCCAAACTGGAATTTGCAATAATAAAACAAAGAGATATATACTAAACTTCACTCAGTAAAAGGCTCGTGGGACACTTAAGGTAGAGGGATACTCATAAACTGATAATGAGGAATGAGATTTGATATGAATGAATGAGGACGTAATAAGGAATGAAGATTATGAGGACAAGGAGAGTAGAAAACGACTGACCTTGTCCTGAAGACTGATGGAAATACACTCGCAAAATAAAGAAAAAAAAACGTGACAACATGACCAAAAAACTCATAAAAGAAAAGGAAAAAAGAACTCTCTACAGAAAATATAAAAAAAAAACATAAAAATTATTAAAGACGAGAGACGTGGTTGCGGAGAGGAAAGGTGAAACGAGAAATTAGATCTTTTATCATTTTAGACCAGAGAAAATGCATTAGGACCAATTATGTTAACGCAAAAATCGAACAAATTCTAGAGAAAAAAGTAAATATCACCTTTGCAGATTAACAGTCAATAAACAAATTCATAAATAAACGTAACAGATTCCAGTCACAATGAAGGGTTTCACTCTCAATGATGCTCCATATTTTGAGCGCCTTTTGGATTATAAGTTCATTCAGGACTTCAAATGACACTTATATTACCAAAGCTGCTGGAAAATCTCGGTTCAGTCTATCGTTTCAAGAAGTATTTGATTTCTTCAGCCATGCTTTATCTTTATATCAGATTAGATCATAAATGGGGTATGGCAGCCATATCTGGCTTAAAGCTGATCAATTTTCATGAACGTTCATGGAGTCCAAACCTGTTCACGTGGGAGATGTAAATTCTTTCTCACAGACGCAACATTGTAAATCTGTCGCTATCCTATCGCCGTTTCCATGGCAAATATACCAAAACGAGCTCAATCTCAATCCAACTGTTCAGACTTTTCTATCTAGGACATACCTTGCCACTTCCACGGAGTTGAATCATCCTGTTTTCCTCTCTATTACAACTCTAAGAAAGTTCCACTCAGACGACATTTTTGCAAGAACTGTTACTTTGCATGGTTGTTTCACCTCAATCTTTACCAATTAATATCAATGTTAATCGTCACCTTTGGCTTAATACCACGCTATGTTGAAACACGGGCGGGTCCTGGTAAGATCACCGAAATTAAGCAACGTTGAGCCTGGTCAGTACTTAGATAGGTGACCCCTTGGGAATACCATGTGCAGTAATCTTGGATGTGCGGTGGTATAATAGATAATGCTTCGGAGAGCCGAGTTCCAATTCCTGTTGGGTTCGTAAAATTCACTTACGCGCAAATGCCATTGGGAAACGGATGAATTCACCACTTCCCCCAGCTATGGATTAATTAGTAAGACATGTATCACTAAACTGTTATTATGTAAAAAATGTTTGATAATCTAAAACTATTTCTTTAAATAACATAGTTGATGAGCTAAAAAATGACGTTAACTCCATCGTTAATTGACGCAAGTATTAGATTGTAAATCTAAACGCCACCAAAATTACTGTCTTTTAGTCTTCTTAGAAAACCATTTTTGCCTTGATATTTCAAAAGGGGAGGTCATTGCCTTCTGTTTTCCTATAATGTGATGAGCAACAAGTAAATGGCTAAGAGTCGAATAAAAATATGGCAGTAACAAATGGATCAAGCTTTCGCTATTAATATTTGAAGAACCTGCAATGGTTTTACATTTGGGTTGTTTCCATTACTTAATATTTCCTTTCATGTGTAGTCTACGGTGTTCAGAAAAAGTGAATCTAGAAAAGAAGGTTAATGTTTTTCAGAGAGAGAGAGAGATAGATAGATAGATAGATAGATAGATAGAGAGAGAGAGAGAGAGAGAGAGAGATTGATTTACTTGTTTACGGCCTATCAACTCCTTTATGGGTCATTTAATGCCGAAATTTAATTTTGGGGAGTCTTGCAGTAATAAAAATATGATGAATGTTATTATGACTTCACAATTGAATACATGGTAGATGATACTCAGCTTTTGTGCATATACATGTTTGTGTGGACATAATTACTAGAAGCAGTGATATATGTGGTTATATATTTTGGAATACAGTTATATTTCTTTAAGATAGAATATATAGATAAATATCAAAAAATGAAAAAACAATTGTAAAAAATTCAATTTTCGTCGAAATTGTTTTCTTCAGACAATATTGTCTTTAACACATATTATTCATAAAAGCAATTAAAAACTTCTCTAATTGAATAATGTTTTAGTTTTATTGCATTTTTTTAAAAAAATTTTTCGATTTAGAGCAGATTTTCGCTAAGACCGGGTCCAATTTTGCAAAATGTTTCGGTGACTTAAATTCTTCAAAGAATTATACTTTTAACTAAAATAGTCAGTAAGAATTATCTCGATGGATTTCTTAAGTTTTCATAAAATTAATTATGGTGCTGAAACACATCATAAAATATTTTTACCAATATTTTTGAATAAAAATGTCAAAAACAATTTCATTCATTTGTGAATAAGTCTTGAAAATTTTATTAAAATCCAACAATTATTTGATGTTTGCAAGAATATCCAAATTAATATATTTGTCATCGCAAAAAAAGAGACCAAATTTTTTTATGCTAAAAGTTAGTACAACCGCTGACCCAAGAAAAACAATTTTTTTTTTAATCAAAATTTCGAATATTCTGAAAAGGAGTAAAACATTTAATCAAATAATCAAAAAATACTTTGATTCTTCCTCTTAATAATAGCATAACGATTTTGACGATAAATTTAGGTTCTCATTACGTTTGGAGCATAATTTCGTCACGGTATGCTGATTTTCTAGCATTTATGCGGCGGTACCTATACAAAGCAGAAAAATTAAAGGATGGAAAGAACTGATGAGGATCATGAATAAAGAAGATATAAAAAGGAAAAGCAAGTGAAAATGAAGCCAAAAGAAAGTGAAAGAAAAAAGAGAAAGAAAAGGAAAAGGAAACAGTTACTGAGTGAAAATACGTCAAGTCGTTTCTTTAAAGGTACATGTTGTGTAGAAACCTACCACCCCTCTTAAAGATGAACTCGTCTACGAACAAGGACGTTAACGAGTGGCATGTAAAAAGACAGGAGTAGTAGAAGTTCTTTTTGCTGAGTTAGTTATAGACTACTCAGGCGATATCTGTACCAACTTACCAACCGAATAAACCCCATTTTATTGTTACATGTTATTTGGCGTTTGTCTTTATTAACCCCAAATTAACATCATAACAGTACATGATTTATTAACAAAATTGTCATATAGGAAAAAATAAGTAACCACAGTCACTGAGGTTCGAGCACTAGGTGTATAAATAGCGGTGTCAGGCTACTGACTGCAGTGATCATTGAGTGATTATTTAGTGGAACTATCCAGTCGAATTAGTGTGAATTACTGTGCGTCGATGATTTTAGTTTCAGATTTACTTGGCGTTAAGCCGAGCCGTGTTACTAACAAGGTATTCACTGGAATGGTTTTCTTTGTTGTTGTTAAGTATTTATTTGCGGTTGTAATTAAATACAGTTTTATTTTAACATTGAAGTTATTGAGTTATACTTAATTATTAACGGCCACAGTACGTCACGAAAAATATTTTCAAGCTTTTTCAATATTTTCAAAGGAAGGGAGTAAATATAAATATAGGAAAAATAGTAGAAGATAAAAATGAAATCTAGTCCAGTATATAAAAGAAAAGAAAAAAAAAATGATAGGAGTGAACAGGATGAAAGAAACACGGAAAGAAAGACAGAATCTTAAACTTCAAACGGGAAAACGATTAAAAGCAAAAACACAAGGCTGATATAAAGTAAAAAGCAACGAGGAAAAGAAATAAAGAAAACGTAAAGAGAGGGTGAAAATGAATAAAAAATAATTTTAAAAATTAGAAAGAGGTGAGGGAAGAATAAAAAGAGGATGACAGAAAAAAGAACTGTATATCGAATAAAAAGAAAGTAAAAAACAAGGTTAAGAAAGATACAGAAAGAAAGATTAAGAAAGGAAGAAAGAAAGAAAGAAAGAAGAAAAGAAAGAAGATAAATCAAAGAAAGATTAAGAAAGAAAGAAAAAAGGGAGGAAGAAAAAAAGAAAGAAAGAAATAAGAAAAGAAAAAGAAAGAAGATAAAACAAAGAAAAGAATAAAGAGAGAAAAATGAGAAAATAAAAGAACACTTAAAGCAAATAAGACGGAATGAAAAGAAAGATTAAGAAAGAAAGAAGAAAAGAAAAAAAGATGATAAAACAAAGAATGTTTACAAAAGAAAGAAAGAAGAAAAGAAAAGGGAAAGAAGATAAAACAAAAGAAGAAAAAGAATAAAAGAGAAAAAATGAGAAAATAAAAAGAACACTTAAAGCAAATAAGACGGAATGAAAAGAAAGATTAAGAAAGAAAGAAGAAAAGAAAAAAAGATGATAAAACAAAGAAAGTTTACGAAAGAAAGAAAGAAGAAAAGAAAAGGGAAAGAAGATAAAACAAAGAAGGCGAAAGAATAAAGAGAGAAAAATGAGAAAATAAAAGAACACTTAAAGCAAATAAGACGGAATGAAAAGAAAGATTAAGAAAGAAAGAAGAAAAGAAAAAAGATGATAAAACAAAGAAAGTTTACGAAAGAAAGAAAGAAGAAAAGAAAAGGGAAAGAAGATAAAACAAAGAAGGCAAAAGAATAAAGAGAGAAAAATGAGAAAATAAAGCAACTATGAAAGAATGAAAAGGAAAAGAAATAAATACAATTAAAAACGAAAGAAAAAATTTAAAAAATAATTAGAAATATTATGCCATAAAAGAACGAAAAAGAGATTACCGTAATTCTCCATGTATAATACGCCTTCATCCATAACACGCACCCCTAAAGTTATGCTGAAAGTGTGGGAAAATGTTTCTACTCGTGCATCCCTTGTTTGGTAATCAAACCCTATAACTTGTACCTCTCCAATTTCATTACGGCCAGAGTTTCCTTCTTCTATTTTAAAAAACGATTGTAAACATAGAATAATATTCTAATTTAGTTTTATGATAATTCTTATTTTATTTTATGGCAATTTTTTAAAGATTCTTTGTAGCTGTGCATAATACGCACCGTTTTTTGTTATTATTTTTAAGAAAGAAATGCGTATTATACATGGGGAATTACGGTTATCTAAGCGAAGGGCGGAAGAAAGGAAAGAAGGAAGAAAGGAAGGCGGGTAAATGATTTAAAAGGGAATATCAATTTGCAAAAAAAAAAGGAAGTAATGGATAACGTAAACAAACATAAACATTAATTAAAAGAAAGTTATAAAACTGATTAAATAGGATAAAAATAAGATTTTAGAAGTATGCAGGAGAATAAACACGACGAAAGAATGGGAGAATATTGAAAAAATATGACGAAACAAACAAATAACAATTCGATTTGAAGGGCCGACAAGTACAAGATGTGTTGAATAATTCCATAAAACATGACCTGTGGGTCAAGGGATATTACTAATACTTTGTTGACGGTCAAAAGCCTAGTCAGTGTCGCGTAGGCTGTCAAGATGTGAATAACAGGTAAATTAGGTGCGCTACGATCGCTTTGAAAAAAAAAGAGAAAGAAATGCCAACAGGTTGCCAAAAAGAGTAATATTATATATGTAAAGAAATGTAAAGAAAAGAAAACATCATTTTTTGACGGTTATTAACGCTAATGTTGGACGAGTGAAGAGAATTGGGGTAAAGGAAGAGACAAATCAAACAGAAAGAAAGAAAGAAAGAAAGAAAGAAAGAAAGAAAGAAAGAAAGAAAGAATGAGAAGGAGGTATGGAATAAGAAATGTTAAAAAGAAAGATTAAGAATAGCAACATAAACAAAAACAGAAGAAAGAAGAGAGAAGGTAATGAGATCAGAAAGATTGAAGAACAAAAGATTATGATACTGACTGCAAGAAGATCAAGAAAGAAAAAAGAAAGAAAGAAAAAAGAAAGAAATAAAGAAAGAAAGAAAAAGAAAGAAAGAGTAATGGGATAAGGGTGAATGTAAAAATTGATTATGAACAACGACAAAAAAGAAAGAAAAAGAAAGAAAGAAAGAAAGAAAGAATGAGAAGGAGGTATGGAATAAGATATGTTAAAAAGAAAGATTAAGAATAGCAACATAAGCAACAACAGAAGAAAGAAGAGAGAAGGTAATGAGATCAGAAAGATTGAAGAACAAAAGATTATGATACCGACTGCAAGAAGAACAAGAAAGAAAAAAGAAAGAAAGAAAAAAGAAAGAAATAAAGAAAGAAAGAAAAAGAAAGAAAAAAAGAAAGAAAGGAAGAAAGAGTAATGGGATAAGGGCGAATGTAAAAATTGATTATGAACAACGACAAAAAAGAAAGAAAAAGAAAGAAAGAAAGAATGAGAAGGAGGTATGGAATAAGAAATGTTAAAAAGAAAGATTAAGAATAGCAACATAAGCAACAACAGAAGAAAGAAAATAGAAGGTAATGAGATCAGAAAGATGGAAGAACAAAAGATTATGATACTGACTGCAAGAAGAACAAGAAAGAAAAAGAAAGAAAGAAAGCAAGAAAGAAAGAAAAAGAAAGAAAGAGTAATGGGATAAGCGCGAAAGTAAAAATTGAGTATTAACAACAAAAAAAGAAAGAAAAAGAAAGAAAGAAAGAAAGAAAGAAAGAAAGAAAGAAAGAAAGAAAAGAAAGAAAAAAGAAAGAAAGAAAGAAGAGAAATAAAAAAGAAAAGGAGGAATGGAATAAAGATGGATGAATAAAAATATTAGGAACAGCAACAAAAAAAGAAAGAAAGAATGAATTAAAATGATAACTTGACCAAGAAAAGATACGAAAAAAGAACACCCACAAAAAAGAAGGAAAGAAAGCTGAGTGGAATAAATGCAAATAAAGAAGAAATTTGATCTGCAGAAAGAAAGAAAGAAAAAACAGAAAGAAGAAAGACTGAATGCAATTAAAAAGAACGGATTAACAAAAAGCAAAACGTTCATAAGAAAGTGGCTTTTTATCCGCTGTAGAAAATAAAATGTGGTTACTATCTCCGAATTTGTGAACTGGCAATAAAATAGCAAGAGAGAAAGTGAACAATTATTGACCATTTCCAGTGTAAAATTTCCAAGCTAATTTGTACAAAGTGATGTTTAAACAATCTCAGTATTCAGGAACGAAGATAAAACAATGATTTATGCCGTGACATTGGGGTACAAATAAGTAAAATTTAAACAAAATCTCTCTCCCTCTCTCTCTCTCTCTCTCCCCCTCTCTCTCTCTATGTCTCATTTTGTCTGCCCATTTGTCTCCCCATTTTCTTTCTCCTGCTCTATTGCTTTTTCTCTCATAACCACTCTCTCTCTCTCCTTCTGCGGTGCGATGGGTAAATTGTCGCTAATTTATCTTTTTAATTTCGCGCATGCGCGTTGTTTGTTTGTGATTTTGTCGACCGTACAGTAGGGTCTATAGTATAGTAGGGTCAGTTGGTCACTGTCAGTGAGAAAAAGGGCGCCATGACGCGATTCACACCACCAAAAATTTGAAAAAAAAAAACATGCTGTACTACATGGCATTCGTGCCGCAAGCTCCAATATGAACATTACAGATGTCAATCTGAGGACAGTGCAGAGTATTTGGAAAGAGTTGGATGAATCTAATGGTGATTACGAAGGTGTTTCGAGTGATCACTAGTGATGACGACGTTATACCTCAATTACACTTTTCTCACAAGGCCTCAAGCTCAACACGAAAGCCTCAAATCGAATTGATGTAGTGCTGCCCTGGGTCAAGAGGGTGGATGCTGGAACACCTTATGTCTGACAACAGGACTCTGCACCATGCCACACAAGCAGAACCCAGTCATAGCTGTCGGATAATTTCTGCGACCACATCATCCCTTACATCTAGCGACCTAACACCCCAGACTACATCCCCCTTCATTATTATGTATGTAGCCCAGTTAAGCGAGAGACCAACAAAACTCTTTCTTACACCAAAGATGAACTGAAGGCAAGGATTATGGCAGCATTCACCAACTTAAACAAGGAGATCGTCCAGAAGATTTACTGGAGATTCTGAAGTTATCTGGAGGCAGTGGTTGAAAGCAATGGTTATTTTATTGAATAAATTTACTCTTTAGTATTTCAAGATATTTTTGTATAATTTTAGTAAATATATCTCTTAAAATGAGATGTCAATGTTATTTTCATTTTTTGCGTAATTTAGACAACAATTTATCCATCGTAAACTGTGTTTATGTCTGTGCTTGTATATATATATATATATATATATATATATATATATATATAAAAGTAAACATTGTAGTCAACACTCAGAGGCGACAGGCTGTTCCATGCTAGACGCAATCGTCAGGCCGCCTGATTGCGTCTGGGGTGAAACAGCCTGTCGCCTCTGAGTGTTGACTTCAATGTTCACTTTTTATATTTATATTTACATACGCTCTATCTCTGAGAATGTGCACTTTGTCCCGTAAATATAGCATACATTAAAACTATATTTCTTTTATATATATATATATATATATATATATATATATATATATATATATATATATATATATGTGTGTGTGTGTGTGTGTGTGTGTGTGTGTGTGTGTGTGTGTGTGTGCCTTGTTGCGGGGGAACAAAACATACAATATACAATGAAAAAAAAACTAAAGCTTCTCACCTCCTACCACAAATGGTGCCCTGACCCGGAAGTGTGGTCCCAGCCACATAACCAGGAAGATGTGGAAGTTCTGCAAAATTAACTTTTCTGATTTCTGGCCCTCCTACAGCCTAAAATTGAACACACTAGACTATGTCGTGTGCGGTATCTGTGAGGAGGCCACCAACAAATTCTCTTACCTTCATTGCCAAGATGTCAAATGATCCAGTTAAGAGAACACCTTTCTTTCTCTCTCCCTCACTTTCTCCACACACACACACACACACACACACACACATATATATATATATATATATTCATACACGTTTCATTAAATAATATAGACATGTGTTGTCTATTTATTTTATGTAAATTTTTTCGTAACGTCTGATAAGTTTAATAATATTATCGTTGAACAAAGAAAGAAATTCACAATATTGATACATATTTTTTTTAATACAATCTAAGCTTTCGGCTTACTTAAACCATTATCAAAGATGTCAATTACAACATATTAAGCAATATACGGGCAAAAGCTTAAGTATTGTATTAAAAAAAATATGGATTAATATTGTGAATTTCTTTCTTCGTTCAACGAGAATGTTATTAAACTTATCAGACGTTACGGAAAAATTTACATAAAATAAATAGACAACACTTGTCTATATTATTTAATGAAAGATGCTGACTAAATACACACACACACATATACATATATACATATATATATATATATATATATATATATATATATATATATATATATATATATATATATATATAATATTCTCTGATTTAACCAGTAGAAGACAATATTTATGAATAAAAAAATGACAATAGGAAAACTGGTAATTGCTGACGCGTTTCGTCCAAAGCAAAAATACGTTCAAAGCAAAATACGAAATTCGTATTTTGTTTTGATAAAGCAATTGCGTCAGTAATTACCAGTTTTCCTATTGTCATTTTTATTCATAATTTTTATTATATAAATATATATATATATATATATATATATATATATATATATATAGAATGTATCGAAAATACTTTTACAAAAGTTTTGGGGCGGGTTCCTCACAACAAAACAAGGACAAAAGTCCATGTAATCATATGTCCGAAAATGCGTCGCTTTTGAGTTATTTCGTTTAATGTTTACGGTAAACGCTGTTAAAAGTACAATTCAAGATACAATCTTAAGATAATTTTACAAAATTTTGGGGCGGTTTCCAGACTCCAAAACAAGTTAAAATTGCTTTTTTGAGCTGCAAAAGTACACTAATGACAAATGTAACCTAGTCTATATGGTAACACAGTACCGCCTACAATAAACTTTCTTTAAACTTAATAACTCAAAAACAAAGGATCTTTGTTTTTATGTGAGGAACCCGCTCAAGAAGTTTGTAAAAGAAGTTTTGATACACCATTTATATATCTATATATATATAAAAGAGAGGATGTCTGTGTGTCTGTCTGTCTGTGTGATACCTTTTTCAGTCGAGATCCATCCAACCGATTTTGACCAAACTTCGCATATACATTGTACAATGTAAGAGATAGGTTAAGAACCTTAAAAAGTCGATAATTTTTGCAAAATCGATAATCGATAAAGCTGATCAAAAATTGATAAATCTAACTTCTTACCTCCGATTACGTTCAAACTCGGTATGTAAATTATTTACATCATGGCAAGATCAACGATACTTTTTTATTTTGAAAATCTGCGAAAAACGAAAAATCGATTTCAACACAAATCGATTTCGACACAAATTTTAAACTAAAAAAATCCTTCAATTTTCAAGCAATTTGTACAAACTTTACTCAATTTTAGCCAACAATAAGCTGATTGTTCAGCAGACATTTAACTTTTTATTTGAGTCCACCCACATAGTGAAAAAACCGCGCAAATAGCGGAAAATGGCGATTTTTAATGGTTTCTTTCTTATTTTTCTTTGATCTTTCAACTAATTTTCATTAAATTTAACAATTGCTTCATAAATGAAACCTCTTTTACATCCCAGGTAGCACACTGACAAATTGAATTTCAAAAAATCCAAAATAATTGTCGTCTGAAGTGGGTCTACATGTTGCCTGTTTTACCCACTTCATGTCCTCAGCTAACTTTGATTGAATAAATACAGGCTACTTGTGTTATATCAATAACTGCATTAATTCAAAATGTTTTTTTTTTTAATGAAAGTTCTTTAAATAATTGAAGACGATAGACTCTGTGACATCTGTTCTTGCTCCATTGTAATTGAACAATTTTTTTCTGATCGACGAGCTGGGTATAGCTGCTAGTATATATATATATATATATATATATATATATATATGTGTGTGTGTGTGTGTGTGTGTGTGTGTGTGTGTGTGTGTGTGTGTGTGTAATGTATAGCGACTCGCAATGAGAAATCAGAACGTCGAGTTCGAATTCCAGTCGAGTTCGTTAAACAACAAACCACCAGTTTCCCACGATTTCTCGGACATTCAAGCCGATAAATGCAATTAAACTGTTTATTATAAACAGAACAGTTACTTAAGTAATTGTATCTTTAAAAATATCGTATAAACTGAAAAAATATTAAAATCATTGTCGGACTTCATCCATTTCATAATATATGTTGTCATTTGTTTACGTTAAGATACGCTTCGGTCAGATATGATCTTTCGAGAAAGATCGTGGGAAATTTGTTTTTCTAAAACAGTAATTTGAACTTTGGTCTTTGCTAAACAGACCCTTCCTTTGTAGCTGAGTGGTATAGCACGTCAAATCAAATGACGGTTCAGTCTAGGATATAGGTTCGATTCCTGTCGGAAGACATATTTTCTACGAAATTTCTCGAACATTCAGGCCGCTAAATGTAATTGATACGGTTTATTATTAACAGTGCATTTACTTACATAATTAATAACACAAAATATCAAGCAGGTTGTGAAGGAGAACCCGACAAAAGGAAAGTTCAATGCCACAATGACAGACCATATAATATATTAATCATAATCTTCCGGTGTAAGTCTGACTGACTTCGACTCTCAGTCACTTGCGTGCTATGTACACATTCTTCAGGCGGTCGGCTTTGCTTCCCGCGCCTCACGCCAGACTCTCACGGGGCACAATACTTATCCCCTGACATGCGCAGAATTGACAAAATCAATGGCAGTCATACACGTTTTGTAACGCTACAATGGTATTTCATTGGCCAATTCGATTCGTATGTAGTTGTACAGTTATACAACTAAGAATATAGAAGTGATAAAGGATACGAGCAAATTAATAATTCTACGTTTTATTTTATTTTTATTCAGTACTTTTGATTTTCCGCAATTTTTCGGAAATTTAATTTCAGAAACAGTTGTCATTCTCAAATCCTTGCACATTCAATTCTCCTTATATATATATATATATATATATATATATATATATATATATATATATATATATATATATCCTTGTACAGAGAATACAATTCTGTTAAAGGCTCAGAAATTATCGTACGGAGCACAGATGATAGCTGTAGACAACTAGTTGGTGATTTTAGTAAC